ACATAGCACCGACTTTTTCGCAGACATTAATCTTAATAATTAATTAGTTTTCTTATGTAATTTGAATATATATTTTTATTATGTTTTGGATATATTAAGTTAAATTTCTTTTCGAAATGAATGATTTTTAATTAAATATTAAATTTCGTAAATTAAAAATTTTAAATTTGTGGATTTTAAAAGTGAAATTTTATTATATCTCTAGAGGTTATTTGGTCGTATTAAATAAATCAAATTGAAGTTATCTGGTCGTACATTTTACGACCAAGTTGTGTCTATTATTCAAGAGTCGAGGTTATGTGGTCGTACACGTTACCTCTATTTAAATACTATTTTACGTCGAATTTGACTTCCACTTTACGACCAACGTTTACGACCACCTAACATCTAACTGATTGGACGTAACTTTACGTCAAATCCACATCCAGAGTACGACCACTTTATTTACGTTTGTGTTACGACCAATATCTTTAGTCGTAATAGTTAAGTCCACATTACGACCAAAACTTTATTACGACGGGCTGTTTACGACTAAACGCTTTTCGTTGTTGTGTGGTCGTAAAAGCCTATTTACGACCAAATTACCTCTATTTCTGTGGTCGTTATGCCCGCGTTTTCTTGTAGTGGCTAGGATGGTATTTTTTAGAAGAAGTTTGTCTTTCATGAAAGTTGTTTGGCTAGGATAAATGAACTCTGGTCGTATAGAGTTTAGGTGAGCCACGAGTAGGCGGGAAAAAAACTTTGGAGACAGTGTTTAGACAAGATATGGGGCGGTAGTCAATGACCCTCAGAGCTTCTGAAAATTTTGGGAGTAATGACAGCATAGTTGAGTTTGCAGAGGCTGGTAGGAAAGATGTATTGAAGAAATTCCTAATAAAGTCTGTGACTTCAGTCCCTAGAGAGTTCTAAGTGGTTTTGAAGAAACCAGATGTGAGACCATCAGACCCAAGGGATTTATTAGGGTTTAGCTTGAAAAACACTTCTTTAATCTCTCTGGCAATGGTATAGTGAGCATTTTTTTCCGTTTGTTGCAGGTTACATGTGAAATGAGACAAGTCAGAAAACCATTGAGAAGAAGAGATCAGTTGGGGAGGCGTGGACATGATGGGGCAAGAACTGATCGAAAGTGTGACACTGCCATCAAACTCATTTCCAATGGGTCTGTGATGAGAACTCATGCCACATCTAAGAAGGACATGATCGCATTATAGATTGATCGCACTTGACATGCTCAATGGAAGAAGGTAGTACTGAAATCTCCTTCCTTTAACCAGTTTATTCAGGATTTTTGTCTGAATAAAAATCTCTCTCTCTCTCTCTCTCTCTCTCTCTCTCTCTCTCTCTCTCTCTCTCTCTCTCTCTCTCTCTCTCTCTCTCTCTCTCTCTGGAACATCTATCTTTGGTGGAGATCACGTTCTTAATGAAATGTCTGAGTTGAGGGGTCGCTTAGAGCACGTACCTGCTCATATCACTCACTCGCTTATGAATTTTTGAGTAGTTCTCTTAATTCAGTTTTTTAACTCTCTTTTTATGCTTTTGAGTTTCCAATAGAGCTGTGTCAAGTTGACACAAACACTTCTGGCTTGAGCCCGAACGTCATGAATCAGTTGAGGAAAGTTTGGGTGATTTGTAAGGTAATTTTGGACTTTGAATTGGTGGATACCAGCGGTGCGAAGTTGGATGGCTAGGTCAGTAAGGCAGGGGGAATGATCAGAGATAGGGGGGGGGGAGGGAAATGGCTGAGGCATGAAGGTAAGCAGAGATAAACTTGCTGTTCAGAAGGAGCCTGTCTTATCTTTTTGTTTTTTTCGAAAGATAACTTAATAATCGGCTTCCCATACTTATGTAACTTATCTAAAAATGAATGTTCATTTAACACAAATAAACAACTACACAGATTATTTGGAGAAAAAAAAACTCTAAATACGATATATTTGAACAAAAGTTTGTTACATTTCTACTATAATTAAAAGGAGAATATATCCAACTGTGGTGTTGCCCGTCAGATTAAATAATCTGAAACTGAATATCTCGGTTGAAATCGTCTCATTGCCACCACCCCATCAATCCATCTCTATGCTTCCCCGAGTCTCATGTCAATGACGGAATCGGAAAGATTCTCCGAGGCGTAACCAGATTTGTGGCTGATGAATGAGCAAGATTGATCTGCCGCAGACGGGAAGATGAGCCGTAGAAGTCGATTGTTAACGGGAACCGGGTTGAGTTCGAGTAAGGTAACGGATCCTCCACTGACACCATCTTTGTTAAAAGATCTTTGCTTTCGGTTAGCAGCTAGGAGAAGAAGTTGGATGGGTTTGGGTGATGCTAGAGAGAGAAGAGAGTCATTAGATCCATCTATGGTCAAGAATCATGTTCCTGACATGATACTACATGTTTCAAGTACAAGAAGTTATCACTTCCAAAATCTCTTAAAGAAGTGTGAGAGAGAGAGAGAGAGCAGTATTACTCTCATTGCTTTGAAATGGTGGACGAGAGTGGCCGGCTTATATAGATTGACAGATATGTTAACCATGGTATAAAGGAGCAAGAGAAACGCTGTCCTTTAGATCTCGAACGTGTTCGTTTGCTTCAGAGAACCATGTTTATTTTACCACAACAATCTTGGATGTTTGTGGAGTGGTAAGGTGGTTGTATGTTTTATTTTTAAAATTTTCTTTGATTAATTTGTTATTTTTTGAAAAGGGAATATCAATATACTCAGAATCTGCAACTTCATTCCTCATATATTATCCTAAGATTGGTTAAGGTATGTGGGTTATCAAGCTTTGTTTAGAAATTTATCATGTTAAATGCCGCAAATTTTTTGATAAAGCGTCAGACTTTACATGTCTTTGTTTTTAATTGTTCTTTTTCTATGTTGTGCAGGTCCTTTGGTTTCACTGCCTCCTGGCGGAAGTCGTGTTGTTTACTTCCCTCAAGGACACAGCGAACAAGTATGTTCCAAACGTAGAAAAAAAACGCAATTCTTTTAGCGTTTTGAAACAATTACCCTAATGGACTCTTTTTTAGGTTGCAGCATCGATGCAGAAGCAAACAGATTTTATTCCAAATTACCCTAATCTTCCTTCTAAGCTGATTTGCTTGCTTCATAGTATTACTTTACATGTAAGCTTCTCTTATGATCTCAACTTGTGAATCAATATCAAAGAAGAGCTAATCATGACTTTTGTGAAAATCTGAATCAGGCTGATACCGAGACGGATGACGTCTATGCACAAATGACTCTTCAACCTGTGAATAAGGTCTAAATCTTCACGCTCCATCAGTTTTAACTTGTGGTGTCTTGGTTGAGAATTTAACAACTTTATAAGCTGATCTTTGCTTGATCACTCAAAATGTGTTTCAGTACGACAGAGAAGCATTGCTAGCTTCTGATATGGGTCTGAAAATAAACAGACAACCTACTGAGTTTTTCTGCAAGACACTTACAGCATGTGACACTAGCACTCATGGTGGATTCTCTGTACCACGTCATGCTGCTGAGAAAATACTCCCTCCTCTTGTATGTCTCTCCCTGATCAAACCTCAAAATGTTTTGTTTCTTTTTTTTTGCTAAAAGTTCTGAGGATGCTTTTAAATAGAATTTCGCGATGCAACCCCTTGCACGAGAGACTGTAGCTAAAGATTTGCACGACACTACATGGATATTTAGACATATCTATCGAGGTATATATCATCCCAATGAGCTTAGAAGAATGAAAATTTCAAGTCTGATTTGTTTCCTTTGCTGTAATCTGATCTCAGGCCAACCAAAAATACATTTGCTTACCACTGGTTGGAGCGGCTTTTAGCACAAAGAGACTATTCACTGGGGATTCAGTTTTGTTTGTAAGGTATAATGAGTTCATACTCAGATCAAACAGTACGCAGAAAATAAACTTTATTGTTCTCATCTGAGGTTATAAACTGTTTTGCAGAGCTGAGAAAGAACAGCTGACGTTGGGTACTTGGGTATAAGACGTGCAAATAGACAAACACCGACTCTTTCCTCATCGGTGATATCCAGCGACAGTATGCACATTGGGATTCTTGCAGCTGCTGCTCATGCCAATGCCAATAGCAGCCCTTTCACCATCTTCTTCAATCCAAGAGCAAGTCTTTCAGAGTTTGTTGTTCCTCTAGCCAAGTACAACAAAGAGTTGTACTCTCAAGTATCTCTTGGATGGCGGTTTCGGAAGATGTTCGAGACTGAGGATTGTGGTGTTCGAAGATATATGGGTACAGTCACCGGTATTAGTGATCTTGATCCTGTTAGATGGAAAGGCTCCCAATGACGTAACCTTCAGGTACTTTATTAATTACTATAACACCACGATATATTCACTCACAAATTCCTTCATGTAGACCCGTTAGCTCTTCGCTTGCTGCACCGCCTTCTTGCATTTGATCCCAAAGACCATCCCACAGCTGAAGAGGTAAAGCTCCTCTTTACTAATTTGTACTTTCAAAGTTCTAGACCATTGAACATGTGTGTATGTGTTTGTGTGAGTAGCCACTGGCAGATCCTTACTTTTATGGACTGACAAATGTGGATCGGGAACCATCTACCCAACCGATTCCAAAACTTGAGTTTGAATTTGAAAGAAGGAAGATAATGAAAGAAGACGTCAGGGAATTGATCTATAAAGAGGTACACTAATCTCCTAAACTCATACTGTTTTGTTTGGATTGGTTATGCTCTGAAGAGGGTATATATTAATCGTTTAATATTTGTTCTTACAAAAACTTGCAGATACTAGAGTATCATCCTCAGATGCTACAAGAATATCTTCGAGGTGGAGAACAAACGAGCTTCATGTACCCTAGGTACTATATTCTAACAGGTTACAATTTGTATTCAAACGGGAACTAAAGATAACTATTTTTCCCAAAAAAATCAAAATGAAATGCAGTGGTGTTGATCGGTTTAAGAGACAGTTTGCTCATCTTGAAGAACATTACGGTAGGGTGAGAGAAGCACTCCTCTTCAACAACGTCACGCTTCTTTGCCTAGGTACACTATTTCCTTTTTTTGAAACTTGTGAGATTCCGCCGATGTTATAAAATTTTGCATTTTGACATTCGTTGTGTTCTGTGTTGGGTTACGTTTCTGTTTCAGAGAGAGAGTCCTAGCTCCTAATAAAGAGAACAACCTGCAGCTTCTTTAGCCCCGATACCCGGAAGCCCTCTAAATTCTCAGCACGAGGGCTCAAATTACATGAACGGAGTAAGCCAGACGGGTTACAGTGCCCGAATGTTATGAAGCTTAATGCTATCTAATGTATGCATTTTCATAACTTTTATTATTATTTTTATGTTTTGGTCCCAATTGTCTAAACTACCACATTCTTAATAGAAACTAGATTTTTACCCGCGCTTGAAAGCGCAGAAATTTTTTTTGATTAAAAATTTATATAATTAGGTTTTGTATTTATTTAAAGTATGTTTTGGTATAAAATCAGTAATCCAAAATGTGTGGTGATGATTACTTTGCATTAGTTTTTAGTTTCATTTTTTATTTTTAGATTTGGTTTTAGATTTTGGTTTTTGGTTTTTAATTTTTAAGTTTCTAGTTTTGATTTTCAGCTTTTGGTTTGGGTTTTTAGCTTTTAGATCCGCTGAGTTAGTTTGAACTCATAATTACCAACAAACAAATGCCAAAGAATCGAACATCTAATTTAAAACTGAAAAGATGAGAATTTTTATTTAAAAAAATTGCAATAGTTTATTTTGTAAATAAGTAAAACAAAAGCAAAAATATACATGCGTTTTCAGCTTTTGGTTTTGAATTTTAATTTTTAGATTTGGTTTTTAGTTTTGTTTTACATTTTTAAATCAGTAAATTATTTAAGAAAAAAAAAACTATTATAAAAGTTACCATTGAAATTTATCAAGACAGAGTGATTGTTATTTAAAATTAAAAAATATTAACATGTTTTAAAGTACATGATTTAAATAAGTGATTAATAATAGATAATTTTGTTTTGTTGAAAATATTAAATATTTTTGGGCCTGAAAATAGTAATTGATTTTTTGATTCATTAAGGTAGAACATTTATTCAATGTTTTCTGGAGTTTTTCTTTAATACTAAGCCTAAAACCCAAACTATATAATTTATCATAAAAACAAAAGTAAGCCCAAAACTCTATTCCATAAATAACTGCAGGTTTAATTTAAGTAATGTGGTTCAATCAACTATATGACTTGTATTATTTGTAACACTCTAGAAAGAGTCCAAATTCAAATGACAACTTATATCAGTAGATAAAAAGAATGACTCTATTTTAATAGAGTATATGTGTATATTTGAATTAGCTACATTTACCCTCATTTTAAAAAATTAAATAGATATTTCTAATTATAGAATTAACTAATCTAGATTTAGAGTTTATATTTGAGGGATATTGTTTTGAAAGTTGAGATATAGGATTTTAATAAATATATAAATAAATACTTACCTTTAAAAAAAACAATTCAAAAATTTGGAATTTGAAAATGAAAATTTGACAAATAAAGAAATTTAAAAAAATATAAAAAAATTATAATTTGAAAATGTATAATTCAATAACTATATAATAATAAAAATTCAACATTAAATCAAATAGTATATATGCAGAGTACATGGCAAGGAAGAAGAACAACATGAGTTTCTCTTTCTTTGGTGTGTTAGTTATGGTAACTATTTTCTAGAGATTAAGTCTTAAACCTATTTTCAAATAACAGAAAATTTAGCAGAAGAAAAAAAAATTCATATTCCAAATAATAAAAAGAAAATCCTATAAAAATACTCCAACTAAATTTTCTCACGATTTTTAAAACCCAAACTTATTTGATACCAGTTTAATATTTCAGCTAATTATTTTGCTCATTTTAATCAAAAACTTAAATAAATTCCAAACAAAACTTAAAAAAACTTTGAAACAAAAATAAGTCTGAAAACTTTCAAATTTAATTTCAAGTTTAGGAATAAAGTATCTAAGTTGTGGATAAAATATTAAAATTTTAAAATTATTTAAATTAATTAATTAATTAATTTTAAACTTCAGAAAGAAAACTAAATTTAAAATGTAAACTACAACTAATAATATAGTTTTAAATATTATCCACAGTTTAGATACTTTATTCCTATCACTTAAAATGAAAATAGAAATTTTAAGATTTATTGTGATCAATTTTGAAGATTTTTTAAAATTTCATTCGAACTTATAAATAATCTGGGTATTAAAATGAGTACAGTTTTAAAATTAAGTGTATTAAAATGAATAAATAATTAATTTAGTTATGAAATTGGATAGTAAAAAACTTAATTATATATAGTTAGTGTATTTTTATTGAGTTTTTCAATAATAAATTAATAAAAGTACATATAGTTTATGAAATTAAATATAAACTCAAACAATTCAATAGACATAATAGTACAAAAACATTTTTTTAAAAAATATTAAAATACATAGTCCGCGCGTAACACGGATAAATGATCTAGCTCCTATAATTTGTCAGAGAAAAAGGATTTAGGTTAATGTTAAAACTATACTATTCTTAATTTAAACATAATTTAATTATACAATATTTATTTATATATTTTATATTTTTTGTCTTAAAGATAACAAACGAGAAAAGTAAAAGGGGTTTTACCTTAATTTCTTCACTTACTCCATTTTCTCTGCCGAGAGCTTTCCTTCATCTGGTGATTTTGGCTTCGGGAGATCCTTTCTCGTAACTTCTTAATCAGTGTTCTTCCACCTTATTTCATCTCATTTCTCTCTGTTTTTTCTTCCTCGTTCTTCCAAGACACAAATCGGCAAAATCTGTTTCTTCTTCCTAGTTTTTGTTTGTCAGACGCTTTTTACTACCCGTTTCTAATTCTCGGTTGTATTTCATTCTCTAGATTATTTAAACCATAAATTTGGAGTTTCAATTTGTATCTCTTTTCAGTTACAAATAGTTCTAGGGGCGATTCATCATCACATATAATCGACTAAAGCGCATGCACGTTACTTTTATATTTCTATATGTAAAGTATAAATTCATGTTTTGATTTTTGAAAAGAAAAATTGTGTCATAAGAGTAACGATTCATGTAAAACATATTGTTTCAGTGGCAGATTGTACATATGGATGTTCTTGAGATGCATGATCTTGGTGGAATACATTATCATGTATGCTTTAGACGTTTTGATAGGAGATGACATTACGTTCGATATATGCACTAACATTTTCTTTGTTCACATAGAAACAATCGCATTAACATGTTCGTAATCTGTTTGGAAGCATTCTTCATCTTCTTTAAGATGTCGAACTAGCTAGAGACATATTCTAGAATTAATAGGCTGATTGTATATGTATAAATTACCTTATACTGATCTCATTGTTTGTGCAATTTATAATATAATTGACGGGATTTTTGCCAAAACTAACCCACAACTTGGTTTTAACCCCAATACTAGATCCCAACTTGAATCAAATGCAAATCTAATCTAAAAGGGCTATGAAATTACAATATAGTCCTCTGTGACCAAACAAAAAAACAGAAGACATTTTTACGAATATAACCCCAGTAAGTTGTCTGAGTCGGACTGAGTTACTTTTCAGTCGTCTGGACGACTGAAATGTTAGTTGTCTGGACGATTGAATCTTAAAAATAATTTATAAATTCTGTAAAAAAAATTTTCATGAGTGAAAAATTAAAAACATGTAATTATAAACATTTATAAGTGATATAAATTAAGAAATGATAAAATTGATTTGTTTTCAGCATAGATGAGTGGAAGTAGT